CGCTCACCACCCCTCAGGGAGCAGAAAATCTCGGCCGGGCCGCGTGGGGCCGGCCCAGCCCGGCCGTGCAGGGCCGGTCCGACCGGCACCCAGTTACCTCTTCCGAAGCCAAGAGATTTCCCGGGCTTGCCTGTCTTTAAAATGTGAATCTCACAGAGGTGGACCCAATTTCTAAATGGTTCAATAGGTTGTCAATTTTCAGAGCTGGACAGCTATTGGTTTTTGCTAGGCACAGAGGAAGCTCCTTAGCACCTTCTCTCAGAAAAATCATTCCCATGGGTGGCTTCTTCCCACCTCACCAAATGTCAATTAATGCAAAACCAGCACAGACAGAAATCAGGATTGATTTTTATTGGCCCTCAGAGTAGGTGTTAGTGACAGCTATAATCCACACAGAGGTGCTTATACTGTTGATGAACAAAAACAGCTGTTAAAAAAAATAAAAAATAGGGAAAGTATATTGTGCCTAGAAACAGGCATGTAGCTTTATAGACTGATGCTGCATCTGATGCCACCAGGACTTACATGAAGCCTGTATGTGACCCATACCTTCAGTCACAAGGGTCAGAAAACATCAGTGCTTGCCAGGTTTGCTTTAGGTTGACATTGCCTGTGTAAATAATTGTCCTTTTGTAAGATGCTGAAGTTTTCTGTTTAATTTTTAGTATTACAACTCCCTTAGGGTTTGTTCTAAACTTTCAGAAGTAATTGGCAGCTCATTAACAGCTTTGCAATAGCACTGAAAACCATAGGAGGGAAGCTGCACAGGGTATCTAGAGCCCTGGGCTTTGCTGGACAAAAAGGCACTTGTTTCCAGGGATGTGCAGTTCTCAGTATTTCAGTTTACAAAGAAAAATGTGTTCTCTCTTCTATGGATGAGGTGGTGATGTATTGCATAATTTTGATTGCATCATGTTGGCAGGAAGAGGGAAAAGGAAAATGTTCATCTTGGCCTCCCAAGGACAACCCTCTGCCTGTTTTCCAATCTCCAATGCAAGCTGATAGGAAGTGCATCAAATAAAAATCACAATTTGGCCAGCTTATCAGAACAACTATAAAACCTGAAAGAAAATAAGCATGGAGCACAAGTCCTCTGAGGAGCAGCTAAAGGAACTCAGGTTGTTTAGCCTGGAGAAGAGAGGCCTGAGGGAGGAACTTATTACTCTAGAGATACCTAAAAGAACATTGTGGCCAGGTGGGGGTCAGGCTCTTCTCCCAGGTGACGAGAAACAGGACAAGAGGAAATGGCTTCAGGTTGTTTCAGGGGAGGTTTAGTTTGGACATTAGGAAAAATTTCTTCACTGAAAGGGTGGTTAAGCATTGGAACAGGCTGCCCAGAGAATTGGTGGAGTCACCATCCCTGGAATTCTTGAAAAAACATACAGATGAGGTGTTTAGGGACATGGTTTAGTGATAGGTTTGGCAGTGCTGGGTTGATGACTGGATTCAATGAGCTGAGGGGTCTTTTCAAATCCTGATGATTCTGTGTGTGGGCTGGTTGCTGTGATAGGTGTTTGGCACTAAAGTCCCTGTTTGTGCCCCTTGCAGGCCTGGCGGAAGCGCTGGTTCGTGCTGCGCAGGGGCCGTATGAGTGGGAATCCCGATGTGCTGGAATACTACAGGAACAACCACTCCAAAAAGCCCATCCGCATCATAGACCTCAATGAATGCGAAGTGCTGAAGCACTCAGGGCCCAAATTCATCAAGAAGGAATTTCAGAACAACTTTGTCTTCATTGTGAGAACCACCTACCGCACCTTCTACCTGGTAGCCAAGACTGAGGAGGAGATGCAGATCTGGGTGCACAATATCAGCCAAATCTGTAACTTTGGACATCTAGAAGATGGCACAGGTAGGATCATGCTCATCTTGGAGGCTGGAAGAACGCCCAAGGATGGCAGGAGGCATGGACCTTGCTGTCAGGCTGGGCTGGGCAGGTGGAAGAGGACTGTGGCTCCTATAGCTCCATACAGCGCTGAGATACTGCTAAACCTTGATCTGAAAATTCTCAGTTCACTGCTGCTGGGTGGAAATACTCACTGACTGCTTGGTCTCACTTTGATGAAGCAGTTCCTGCTAGAGCAAACAGCAGGTCCTTAATAAGAAAAGGTGCTGTTTATGTGAAAAGTTGACTGCTATCTTCTGGGGTCATTTATTTCATTATCATTCTGTGTTTATTTAGTTTGGCTTAATGTAAGACACCTGTTCCAGGAAAGCATCCTGCATAACTCCCATTTTCTCAGGTTTTGCTGGATGTGTAATGTGCACAGACATGGGTGTATATGCATGTACATAAATCAGTGACAGAGATACTAAGCTGCCTTAGCCTATTAATAAAAGAAAATAAAGAAAAGGTAGCAAATAGGAGTGTTAGAAGTGTGTGCATAGACTTAAGAGATAGTCCTGCCAGTGAAGCATAAAGGCAGCTCTTTTGCCAGGCCCTGCACCTGTATATATATTGAGCAGAGTGAATTTCTTGAAAAGCTGCCAAGAATTAACCACTCCAAGATGGATGTAGCCAGTAATTAAAGTGGGGACCTGTACCATCATTAGCTTACCTTTTAAATGAGACAATTGGGCTCAAATAACGGTAATCTGTCATTCCCTTGACAATTCTAAGGGGCAGATTCAGCAGCAATTGAAGAGCTTCAGAGGAAGTGAGACAGAATTAAGCCTTTCAATGTGATAAAAGGCAGTGCAATAGTAGAAAAGGGGGACACGAACCCTAGGGCAGTAATGTGTTTGGGGGTACCATAGTGTGGCCAGGCAGTTTATCCTTCCATGGTCTTTGTGCTGCTCCACTCAGAGCACTGCTGGTGTCTGAAAGTGCTACATGGCCACACCATTAACAAGCAACTTGATAGGAAGCAAAAAGCTATGAGGAAGGTTTTATTTTAATCTATCATGGCTCCTGGCATTGCTTAGCTGCCTTTTGAGTAGTGTCTTCTGAGGGAAATGGGAGTGGCAAGAACACTGCAGTGGTCCTGTTACAAGTGTGATGTCTGTTCTTTTCCCATTCACTTCAGAAACCATCATGAAGACTTGCTGACAGATTATGTGTCAGTACAAGCTGCCCGTGAATACAAATTTCAAAGTAGGGCTGGTAGGGATTGGAGTCTACTGCCCTTTGGAGCTTGGATGGAATTAGGGATATTCAGTAACCACCTTCCTACTGTTCTGCTCTTGCTGAATCTGAATTGTTTTTGGATTATCATTTCTGGTGCAGGATTAATTTAGGTATAGTTTTACCAATTACTCTGAAATTAAGAAAACCCCTTCTATGCTAAAGAGAAAAGAGAAAAATAATTTTGTCTCTCAGATGTGTAGGCAGCCTTCTCCTGGCTCTGTGTAAGGATGTTCATGGGGGATGTGATCTGTTGCAGAGGAGCTAAGACAGTGGCTGTCCCAGATAGATGCATTTATACTGGGAAATGCCTGCACTGTTTTGCTGGTGCAGTGCAAAGACTGCTGGTGCAGCTTGGAAGACTTGCATGTGGACAGTACTTGGAGAATTACATGTTGGTGTTTCTCTCCCAGAAAAGATTGCCAGTATGGGCACTGATAGATGGGAAATGACAGCTCTTGCAGCAGCAGTTGGGAAATCTGGCATTCTGCTTTCCAAGGCAGATATTACCCCCCAAGAAGTTCAGTAGTGCCAAGCATTTGCATTGGTTCAGTACAAAGTCTGGAACCTGAACTTGCAGTCCTCATCAAGGATGGTGTGAGCTAAGCCTCCAGACATGCACTTAACTGTGTCTCTAATGACAAATAGCTCCTAAGAGCTTCTATTTATCCTGCAGCTCCTGCCAGTGAGCTCAGGTCTGGGGTGTATCCAGGTCAGACTGCCAAACACATCCAGATCCTCTGATTTAAATCTGCATGGTTCCACAAGTTGCACATCACATTATAAACAGTTCCTTATTGCTTCAGCTTTTCAGGAGCTCCTAAATTCTCCAAGAGCCTGTAGTTTTAAACAAATTACCCTTAAAAATTAACATTAGAAGAGAAAAGCCCTATTAAATGCCACATGCTTTTTTTAACATGTTTTAAAACTAACTAACTACTGTTTTAAAAAAAAATACTAGTCCCTGCTATGAGTCACATCACCCTTAATTTGTGCATCACTGAAAATCTGCTGTGACTGAGGCCAAAACACAATCTGCTGCTTTCTCTGCTTAGTGCCCAAAGTGTAGCCACAGGTTTATGCAGTGACTCAGCTTTAAGCGCTGTCCTGTTGTTCCCAGTTAGTCCCTTCCAGCAGCAAAGCTGGATGGACGGTCAGGTCCCCACACCAGAGGTGCTGGCAGCCAGATATGGAGCGAAGTTACAAAGGCCATGGCTCCTGTGAGCACAGTTCTGTAGTCAACAAGAGGGGACAGTTGAGAGGCAGAGATGACATGGCAGCTCCAGGCAGATGTCAGGAAGGACCTGGGAGGGCAGCTGTCAGGAAGGACTTGCCAGCAGCACTCACACACTGCTGCCACAAGAAAGTGCCTCTGGCTGTGCTGGAAATGACAGAGGAGATGGCTGGGGAGTAAGCTGGAAGAGAGAGGAAGAGGCCTTGCTCCTGGTTTTCCTACCCTATCTGACCAAAATCCTGCTTCCATCTTTGGTGAAGTCTCCCAATAGAGCCATCATTCCCCAGGCCCATGGGACCCATGGCCATGAAGGGGATTGAGAGGGTGCTTGGCCCAAGTGTCTGGGGCAGGGGAGAGGATGAAATGAAGTTGGATGTTGGACAACAGGGGCACAGTTTATCCCATGTTCAAGCTGAAGCCATGACTAATTGACACAATCCAGTGTAACAGCTTTTCACTGGACAAGCTAGTGGAAGGTTGTTTAACCAGTTTCATTAGGAAGCCTTACTGTTATTTCTACCTCCTTGGTATGTCAGTGCAGCCTTGGGGGTGGTTGATGTGAGAAGAACACCTCTATTCCACCATGTCCCTGCACTGCTGTTGCACCATAACAATTCTTGAGGAGGTGGCTGGGGTCTATATCAGAAGGGGAAAAGGCACCCTCTGTTTTTCCAAGCAGTGGCCCTTCATTGATTAGAGAAGTCACTGTGGAAGATGCTTTTCAGCCTCTGTGGTGACTTTCTCCACAATTGCAGGGCAGAAATGTTTTGTGTCAGTACGCACTAAAGCAGTTATTTTGGCAACTGAAGCCTCCTGCTGTCTCTCTGGCAAAGGGGATGGCAGGCGCCAAACCTATTCTCTACTGTCTCACTGTTGAAAGTAGTCATGCATAATTTATACTTCACAGCTGCTGTTGTGGTAGTTTTAATGCACACGATTTGGTTACCCCTGGCAGGGACAGGAACAGTCTGTAAGGAGCTGGCTGCAGGTCCCTCAGCCCCTGAAGGTCAGAAAAGGGCAGGTCTGTGCTGTCCCCATCCCTTCCTCCTGCTCACAACCATTGCCATGTGGTCTGCAGCTCACAGCCTTTCCTGATGGGATAATCCATGGCTAAACCCTGTGAGTAACAGATGGAGTTCAGGCCTGTTCGTTCTCTGTATTAGTAACCCAGAATGCCATTAATTTATTTCTTATGCACTGTGGCAGTTGTAGTTGTTGGTTTGTTGGGTTTTTTTTTAATGTAGTCAGATGGTGAACATGCTTTACTGAGATCCCTAGGGAGTTAGCCCAGTGTATATTTGATCATTGTCAGCTTGCAAGACAGTTCTGAGAATCCAAGATTTAAAAGCAGAGTTACTGTCTGAGCCAGCATGCTGACCAAAAGTTATTTTTCAGATCGGAAGGCTACAGCCCTTAACTTTGTTTTGCAAATGTGAAACCCTATAAAAGCCATTCCTTCGAGAGATGATCACTAATGAAACCCTGCTGCTATAAGCACCTGCTCAAAATTAAAGCAAATCCATTGCCTACACTTAAATTTAAGCATGTTCATATATGTTCTGCTGACCTAAGGCCCACTGCTGCCCAGACTCCTGAAGCTAATTGGAGGAAGCAGAGGGAGTCAATATTGGTAGATGGGAAGGAAAGAGGCAGCTCCCTCCCAAGTTGAAAGGGATGAGATGTAGGATAGTGCAGGGAGGGAAGATCAGCTGTTTTATTCTTCTGCTATCAGAAAGATGAGGGGTGAAGCCTGCTATGGCTGGCTTAGGACCCTAGATCAATAGGATCATAGACCATCCTCAGCTGGAAGGGACCTGCAAGGATCATCAAGCCAAACTTCTGGCCCTGTACAGGATGACCCCAAGAATTGCACCATGTGCCTGAGAGGGTTTAGTTTGTGTTTAGTGATGTTGCTGTCTAACCACAAGTCTTGGAGGCCCTCTCCATACCTCCTGGTCTGCTTGTACGCATACCCAGCACCTCCCAGGATTGAGAAGTGACTACAGCAACCTGGTACAGTGCCAAAGCTTGTGTCTCTGTTGAGGTTGGGACTAGATTGGACCTGCTGGAGAGTCTCAGGACCATATCACAGTGCAGGATCTAGGCCACAGGATGCATCAGGGGCATCATCAGGGGCTGGTATGCAGCATTTCCATCAAGTTCTGCATATCAGCATTAGAGAAATCTGTCATCTTGCTGCACTTTGAAGGCATGTTAAACCTCAGTGTGGTTTTATCAGCAGTCACTGGTTTCTTGTGTTTGTTTTTGCTGAGGGGTTTTTCATTTTGGAAAAGGGTTTTGCAGCTTTGACTCAGGCAGTGTCTGAGCCAGAGAGACGGGTATCCCCTGCCCAGCCCTGCAGGTGTCAGGGACGCAGTGGGCACTGCCCCATCCCCACACAGCTCTGGTGAAGGAACTGCCATGCAGCAACCTGAAACTTCATTAGAAAAATCTTATTCCCTAACTGTGGACTTGTGCTCTTGGTGCCACTGTTTGAGCTTGCTGCCAGGAGCAGATGCTTTTGGGGAGCTGCTCTGTAAAAACACCCTTCCCACTCCACAGCTGACATTGTGGGAGGTCTGGCTTGCACTTGATTTTTTTTATTTTTTTAATTTAAATGCCCCAAAAGCTTTGTTTAGCTTGAGTCTGTGTGGCTCAGTCATCACTCCTTCTTCCCTTCTGCCCAGCTCTCTAGCAGGGACAGAGGTTGGGAGAGGAACAGAACCAGACTTCTCTGCTGCCAGGCAGTGCTCAGGCCAGATGGATCTGACTGTCTCAGCCAAATGCTGCCACTGAAGGGTGGCCTTGGGCGTGTGAGCAGGCAGCCAGCTCTGGGCCAGCCCCACTGCCTGCAGCCCTGACCCCTTCCTGTCCCACTGCCATCCCACTCTGTGCTGGGGACATTGGAGTGTTATGCCCAGAGAAAGTGTCACTGGGCTCAGGCTCCCTGTGCCTTGTGACCTCCAGAAAAGTAGTGTCACTTTTCTCAGCAGAGCCAAGAAGCCTCCAGCTGGGCAGTAACAGCCGCAGCACTGCTCTTGTGGCTTGGTGTCTAGCTGAGAGAGGCATAAAAAGCTTGCAGACAAATTCAGAGCTTGTCTGGCTACTCCACAAGCTGGAAAGCTCAGTTTTGTCTACTGAGATTTAGAAAGTGGCAAGAAATAATCCCTTTCCTTATCACCATTAATTTGAAGTGTTGGAGATGAATAATTAATTATTTGCTTAAGATACTAAAAAAACACTTGATAAAACAGGCTGCTGTGCCTCAGCTCTTTGTTCAGCTGAGTCTGTTCTTCACTGCTGGCTGCAGGAGGGATGCCTCAGCCCTGTAGGAGAGGGGCACCCCAGAGCAAGGGGTCTGCACTTCCTGCAGCCTGGAGAACTTAGCCTGGGCAGGGGGAGCAAAATCAGGCTCCCCTCTACCCAGAACCAGTGTTTGCCTTGACTCACTGCTGCTCTGGCATAAAACATCCCTGGTGCAAAAGCAAGGTGGTGACAGCCAGGACAGTCAGAGGGCCAGGGCGAGTCAGAGCCATCCCTCAGCCAGGCCATCCATTGCCATTGCAGGTTCTGTGGAGAGCCTATCTCACACGACCTCGTCCCCACAGCCCTCACCGGCCGCCTCCACCCATGCCTCCCGCATCGCCGACCCCTCCTTCTCAGCTGACCGCACTGCTGCTGATGCTGCTGCTGAGGAGACCCCCAGTGAGTCCGAGTCAGTCTTCCTCCCTGACTACCTCTTCCTGTCCAACTGTGAGTCGGGCAAGCTCAGCCACAACAGGTGAGTCTGGGGTCTGCCAGATATGTCAGGCTGGAGCCCCCCTCTGCCTGTCTAGGCATGAAACTGGGGCACAGAGCCCCAGGGAGCCCTGCCACTCAGGGCTGGCTCCCAAACACAACAGGGGACCACCAGCCTAATCCAATTTACAGGGTGCTTTTCGTAGCACAGATTAGTGCTTGGCCATGATATGTTGGTCCTGTCCCTTTCCAAGATGGGTGGCTGAGGATCTCACACACAGCCTTCCTCCAGACACCTGCTGTCGTCCAAGATGCTCCACAAAATGTCCCAGCCTCCAGTACAGCTCAGAGGGAAGGGACAGACCTTGTCCCAAACTGTGCGGCTGGGTTTTTTGTTTGCTGCGTTCTTATAGCCAGGAGAAAAGGAAAGCTTAGGTCCTGACCTTTGTCTCCTTGCAGGTGTGACAGCTGGTCAAACTCAGACAGATCTTTGGAGCAAACATCATCAGACGATGTTTTTGTTGACTCCTTGCAACCACCGCCCTCCTTGTACCTTGTACAGCCAACCAGTGCTGGCACTGTGCACAAGGTCGGAGCCCCAGTGGCAAATTCCAGCATCGTGTCCAGGAACACAGATATTAGTGGGTCATCCAGTGACTTTTCCTCCTCTTCTCCACTGCTGGGGAAGCCACTGACACCAACGTTTCAGATTGACAAGAGCCAAAATGCGCTGCCCTATGGTGTAACCCAGCTGGATGTGCTGTCCAACACGCCCCCACCGCGGCCGCCCAAGCCAACCCACTTATCAGACAGGAGAGGAGGTGAGGTGGGCAGCGGAGCCCTCCAGAATGGGCACACAGGGATCTGCCGGGCTCAGGTTGCTCTGGTACCCAGAAGGATCTCCTTGTCCAGCTTGGACAACATGAGGAGCTGGAAAGGTGAGTGCACTTCCAAGACCCTGCAAAGCAGCATCAGTGTGAGGGATGGAGCTTTCTACATGCACAGAGTGGTTTTGACTTCCTGTTGTGCCACTCTGTCCTCCACTCTGTGAAATCTTACACCACCCAATGTAACTTTCAAATGAATTAGCAAGCAGGATTCAGGCCTGTCCCTTAGGGTTCAGCTCCTGCTCTGTAGAAGCCGCTCAGTATGTGTACAGATGGGCAGCAATTTGGCTTTGATCCCTTCAGGGTGCCTCATGCCTTGCTAATTTTTCCCCTCCCTCCTCAGAAGAGAAAGCAGTAAAAAAACCAAAATGAGAAGTCAGCCACTGAATTGGGCAATGACAAACTCTGTTTATACAGGTTGAAGTGTGGCCTTGCATGTGGGCAATGGCTCTGAACCTATGCTGCTTTGCTATACCTGGTCCATTCTATGAGAGCTGCATGTCTTTTCACGGCCTAGAGTAAAGACCAGGAAGTCAGGGAGACTTTGGGGATGGGATGTAATCCTGGTTGACCCAGAGACTCTGTGTGTCCTTGAACAAATCCCACTCTGTCCTTGCACTTCTGTCAGGGCAGTCTGAAAACCTACTGCTACAGAGCAAGGCAAGGCTGCAAAGCAAACTCTAATCTGAGCTGAGCTGGCTTTTCCACTTGCTCCTGAAACACCATCATCACAAACAAGAGCAACAGTCAAAACCCAGAACATCATGGTATCAAAAACCAGCACTTGCAGTAAGAGAAAGTTTTATTACATGAAGCCACAGAACAGTGGGAGGTAGCTGGAATACCTGGGTGGAAATCACCAAGTATATTGCATTGACATGAAAACCTTCATTTTTGATGAGGAAAAAAGTGTAGGTTTTAAAGGGCAATCATCCTTTAGACTCCTGCAGTTTGAATGACCAGACAATGTGTGGGACTGTTTGACCTTGCTCTTAAAGCTCAGAAGCTAGAGCAAGGAGATCTCTGCTCAGCCTGTTATCAGTATACAGACAACTCTTAGAAGGTTTCTGGAGAAACACCCATCAGTGGAATTGCTATTCTTAATTATCTGCTACATTTGGTTGCTCCCTGAGAGGTGCTGCTCCAACACAGTTGGTTCGTGATCCTCCAACCCAATTTACAGCAAAATGTCTCTAAGAGGATTAAGTGGCCAAATGTTATGTTGTGCTGCTGTGCTGCAGGGTTGTCTCTGCCTGATGGGGGCAGCAATGAATTAGTAAGTGCTGCCACATTTACTTACCCTAAGTGTAGCTGAAACTACTTGAAGGGTTAAACTCTGAATTAAAGTGTGTTTAACAAGAAAGATCAGAAAAATAAACAGGGAGAAAGCAGCAGTTACTCACCAGCTCCCTCAGTGAATGCATCCAAGTTATTAACTTAATTTTTGCCCTTACGAACCTGCAAAAGGTGCACAGATGTAATTAGCCCAGGACGAAAGCAGCATGAGCTGGTGGAAGCACCATGAAGGAGGATAAGGACCTGTTAAGCACCAGATGTATCCTGGCATCTGCCACAGCTTTGTGCCTCAGTGTCTTTTTGCCATAATAAATAAATGTAGCTGTCCCAGGACAGTGACTGCGTATATCTGAATATGTATCTGCATTAACAGAATTGCTGTGTTCTTGTTTAGCTTTTTTTGATAGTACCCTCAAAAATGCCCCCAGTTGCAGTACTGACATCTCCACCATAAGAGTGGGAAATGGATTAACATGGTTGCAGGCATGCTACCATGTTAAGGCATTCCCATAGAAAATCCATTTTCTGCACAGAAAATCCCTTTTCAGAAAAGGATGATGGTTGTAAGCATCTCCCACAGCTGATCTTCTATGTACTGAACGCTGGATTTTTTGGCTTGGAAAATAAAATTGAGCTATAACAAGACAAAGGCATACCTGTACAAGGCGGCATAGAGACTGTCTCTGGCTGTTCATTCCCTATCACCTTGAGCCACTTGCACCACATCAGCACTTCTGGATAACAAAGCAAAGAATTTTTCTCCTACCATTAAGTTCCCCCACACACCACTTTCGCTCTGGTCCTGTCCTGACTGGCACCTTAAAAGACTCCTAAATAGATTTCCAATAAATATTATTATTTATAATAGCCCCTTTTCATTTCCCCAATTTGACAGATGCGAAAACAGAAAACTACTAGAGCAGGAGCTGCATTTAAATTCTTGCTCGCTTGCTCCCACACTGGTCTTTTCCCCCAAGTGCTTGTATTACAGGAAGCATAAGTAACAGCTGGATTATACATGAACAGGTTCCTTGGTTTCACAACACTTAAAAAATATGTAATCACTCTTAAAGTACTGCTGAGTTAGATCTGGTCCTAAGAGTCATTGTATTTCCTCAATGGAATCTTTATAAATCTCTATTTTAGAGCCATGTGTTTTACTCCAGAGTTACCTCTGTAAGGTTGCACTGCCTCATCCCATTTTTAATCACTTTTTTTTCCTTGTGGCAGATATGGAAGGCAGTTCCCTAAGAAGTCGAGAGAAGAGGCTTAGCTTGAATTTGGTAAGTACCCTGTTTGCACAAATTTAAAACACTGGCACATAAACTTCAGAGTGAATCATTTCACATCCTGATATTCAATCATTCCTCTCCTCTGTTCAGCAGAAGAATTTAAAAAATGGGGAAAAGTGCCTGGCTTTGGGGAACTTCTGTGCTGGCTGCTTTGTCACCTCAGGCAGCCTTTGAGAGAAGAGAGAGGGAGAGGCCACAATACTGAGTACCCTGTTTTTAGAGCAGATGAAGCTGGGTCTATTATGAAAAAGGTTACCAGTAGCCTCAAGAATTAAACTGTTGACCAAGAGCACCAGAGCAAATGACTTAATCCTTGAAAAAGGGTCTAAAGATGCCTATCACTTCATGGTCCTGAGAGATATCTCTTCTTTAGGACATTGGAAAATGTCTGCTCTCAAAGTGCTTGTGATTGAAGGCTTTATCAGTCCACAGCCTCCTGACTCGGCCTTTGACAGACACAGTTCTAAGAAGCACCATCTCACATCACATAGCCAGTCTTCTGCCTGATGCTGAATGCTGTCTTCTGTGGGAGATCCTTTGCAATTTATATTTTTCTCCTTTTTGAAAGCTTGCAAGGATTGTAATCACTCCCTCTCACCACTCAGCCAGCAATAACCTGAATGAAGTGATTTTCTAATGGTAATTCTCAGTGACCAGAAGTGAGTGTAGGTCTGTGTCTGCTATCTCAGTTTCCACATATGCCAAAGTCTAGTTCACCAGGTGTTCTCCTTTCAGGCTTTTTTTTTGTATTCAGGATCTTCCCTCATTTTATAGGTCAGAATTACTGCTGTGAGAGGCAAGTGCAGCCTCACTGAAGTTGGAGGATTTAACAAATAGTTACCAATCAGTTTGGTTCTAGTTTCCAGCAGTGACTTGTGAAGCTCAGAGTGGACTGCTCCAGAGCTGGAGTGTTCATCTGAATTCATGTGTTTGTCTCTTATCACTCTATCTTGTGCCTCTCTGAAAAGCCCCATCAGAACAATCCTGGCCTGGGCTCAGCTGAGGTGTGTTCCCAGCTCACAGCAGCTCCTGGCTTGGAGGGGGCTGGCTGTGTATTAATCGAGCTGTTTCTCTTTCTGCTCCTACTTGGCTTGTACAGCCATGCCGGTTCTCCCCGCTGTACTCGACGGCTGCGGACAGCACGGAGGACAGCTACATGCCCATGCGCCCCAGCACCTCTCCCTCCGCACCCAGCTCCGACTGTTCCCCTGATGGCTACATCCCCATGAGCCCTGGCTCAGCCACCTTCACCTTCCCTGTTGTCAGCACTGAAAAACTCACCAGCCCATTGCCTGAGCTTCCCTCCAACATGGAGCCCCCTCCAGTGAACCGAGACCTCAAGCCTCGTAGGAAGTGTAAGCCCAGACCTAAGTGCAAAACCTGGGGGTCCTGATGGTGGGGACATGGGTAACCTCCTTTGATAGTGTCCTTGGCATGTCTTAAAGCAATTCCCCCTCTAGAGGATGGGTTGAAATGCTGTGTGACTTACAGCATTATAACCTAGGATGAACTTGCAGGGCAGTTTGTGAGTAGAGGAAGAGCTTCCACGGCTGCTTTTGCAGTCAAAGACCAGGTGGCTGCATAAGCACAATGCCTGGCTTTTCACTGTGACTGCAAAGAGCCAAAGGGACATAGCCTGGGAGAGACAGCAGACTAAATCTTGCCACTCTGAAGTACATGTACTCCTGTCTCACCAGCTCTCTGACCTGCCAGGAATGGGACATTCAAACACTCAAGTACTTAAACTTGATGTGTTGGCTGTTGGTTAAGCCTCTGTTGGATAGGCACAACTGTCTTAGTTTAATTAGGAATTTTCTGCAGATGGTTTTGCTGATGGTAAATTTCCACTGCTGGTTTTCATGGCATCTCCAAAATCTGGGTTGCACTTCTAGAGAATATACTGGGAGCAAAATTCAGCTTTGAAGTGGAGAAATTTCCTAAACCTAGTCTATAATAAAGCTCTTAGGGTTGCAGAGCCACAGGGTTACTCAGAAATTTGTTTTACAGTGCTACTGTAAAATGGGGACAGACATTTAGACCATTGCCATGAAGAAAAGCAAACTCATATTCTTTCTTAAAGGGTTTTGAGAATGGTGGGCACATGTACATTGAGTGGTGACAGGAATGATCCTGATCCTCATGTATAGGATGTTTTTGTTTAGAACAGAATCCAAAACCTGTTATAACCTGTAGGCTGGACCAGCCTCTCCAAGGCAGCATATGCAGAGCATGTTCGGGGAAAACGTATGTATCTTGTGCCACATCTGGTCTCTTTATGCCCACTATATTTATTCTGTTATTTTAGGATGATTGGGGGACTTTACTTTCCAGCACTGACCAAAGAGGTCATTTGTTACTGATTTCTGTCTTGGTTATGTTCTGTGAAATACTCTGTTAGTTTCTTTCTGTTAATACAAAACTGCATTTTTCTAAACAGTCTGTACTTTTCATTGAAAACATAGTTCCTTTTGTGTTTACTTACAGCACGACCACCTCCTCTGGACTTGAGGAACCTCTCCACAATTCGGGAGCATGCTGCTGTGACCAGGATGTGGACTGTGCCTTAGTAAGTCAACAAGAAACCTGCCATTCCAATCTTTTGAGCATTAGTGTGGAATAGAGTTAAAAATAACTTATCCCATCCCACAAGAAAGATTCCTGGCAAAGTCTACAAACAAAAGTTCCCCAAGGTTCCTTTCAGCATCCCCCAGGCTTTTGCTGTCTCTAAAAAGCAGGGCTCCCTTTCCTGGCAGCTCCAGAGAATTCAGCATCATGATTTGAGGGTTCCTTTTAAACAGCCTGGAGCTGGTCTGCACTCTGGTGTGGCTGCTATGATGACTAAAAGCTTGGCATGCCTAAGCTATGATAGAGCCATTTTTGGTCCTGAAAATTAATACAGCAAAGGAAAAGCAGATCAGATAAAGATACGTCTGAATTGTAGACTGGGTACAGAATTCTGCACTGCCACATAGCAATCCAGACCTGAACTTTTGGCATGACCTTTTGTAACTAGAAATTAGTTGTTGGTAAAACAAATGCCTTTGATCCTGAAGCCCAGGAGTATAAACAGACAATACTGTTGGGCTCCAGGGGCAGCAGAAGACTCATCTTCAGGGAACTTGTTAGCATGGGAGCACTTCAGCCTTCTGGCTGGGGGGGTCTTGGCACAAAAAAAAAAATGCAGCTGTGTTGAAGTGTGCATGCTAAAACCAGAAATTCCCATCAAAGTCCTCTGCACACCCTGGGCACTCCAGAAAATGTGGGGTTTTGCTGGCATGAGTGCCAGAGAGGGCATTTCCACTCCCCCATTTCAGGCTGTCATGTGAAGGGCGAAAGAGACACAAGATGAGCCATTTCTCTATTGCAGATCCCTATCTAACATCCAGTCCAAGGCTGGTTAAGCCCCTTGGCACTACCTGTTAGGGAAAGCTAATACCCTAGCTCCCAAGCATCCCTGCCAGAACATTTAGGTTAATCAGTGCTGACACAGTGCAGAGTTTTGAAGGATAACAAGCTTAGGGTGAGTTTGCATGTTTTATACTAACAAAAAGAATTTATGCCCAAAACTAATACAGCAAAAGGAATTATGCTTTTCATGCTGCACAGAGAGGCCATCTAATTTCCTATTAACCAAGCTCATTGTGCTTGCCTGCGGTAATTTATTCACCATGCACCTCTGAGAGTTGTGTTCATGGGATAGATTTCCTTGTGCAAGGGCTGAGTTACTGCCATCTCCACAGCATGGGTAGCAAGTGTTAACCCTGTATACAAAGCCAGACCAAGTTCCTTTGCATGTACCTCCAGCAGCTGATTAATTCACCAGTGTCCAAAATGTGGATACCTGCACAGCCTAGTAACTGCCCCCATTATTACCCAAATGAATGATAGTTCTGTGCCCCTAGGTAGAATTGCTTCAATGTTTTATGTTTTCTATCATACCAGATAGCAAACTTTCATAAATACCAGAGGAAAAAAAATCAACAAAATCAGTCAGCAATATAGCACACTATTTCTAGAATTAAGGAGTTCTAGCTTTGGACAGCCCTTCCATAAAGGCCACAGCCTTAGTGTGAGTTTATTCACCATACGGACTGTTTCAGGCTTTGGCTTCAGTTCAGTGCATCTGTAAGATGCTTCATTAACCTCTCCTGTGTTTTTCTTCATAGCAATCGAATGAGCTTTATCTCACCAGAAAGAGACAGTATTAATTCAGCAAGAATATTTGCCAATTCAGTTTCCGGAGAAGAGGAAGAAAGTTACATTCATATGGTAATGTCATTTTCACACAGCCATCCTTTGCTTTATTCTGCTCTGTCACACTGATGGAGAATGCAGAAGTTTGTTTTCTAAGAAAAAACATTGAGGAGATTTGTCCTTTGCCTTCTGGTTTGTTTGTTTATTTTTTCAAATGATGAAACGGTTTTAAACCAAAGACACTGGGACCAATTTACAGAGAGATAAGGGAAGTCCTTTTCCTGCTTTGCAGAACTCAGCTCTTTGCTCACGAATGTTGCTGAGCAGTTCCAGGAGATCACAGGGATCAGCCATATTTACATGTGAACTCAATAAGACAAAGGAAAATTAAATCTTTTCACCTTTTAAAATTGTGCCTTGCAAAATCTCCTAGGAAATAAAAGAAAGCCTTTAGTGCAGTTCCTAAAGAAACACACCAAATATTGTGCAGAAACAGAACTCCCATTAAAGTCTCATTGCTTCTGTTTTGGCTGGTGGCATTAGCCCCACTTCCCATCTCATGAAAGAAGAACATCTGGCTTTGTGGCTTCCTATTTTTCATTTATTCTTTAGCCATATCTTGCACAAGAGCAGAATCTTGTTTTACTTTGAATTTTAGGTGGAAATGGATCTCAAATCCATTCAGTCTGACTACAGATCTACTCCATAGCCAAAGCCCAAGACTAATAGCTATAAAAATATATTGCAAAACTGACCACAGCCTCCATGAACCATAGTTTCAAATTTTAACCCACATCTCTGCCAGACTGAAATCTGCTCAAGAGGACAGTTCCAGTTGTAACCATTCCCCATTTGATTTTTCTAGTCTAGGAAAACCTGTCATATGTTTGTGGTTATCTGTGATTTTATGAGAATAATTTTCAGTTTCTACATTTGAACTGAATTTTCACAATTTCTTCAAATTCACTGAATGATGATGTTTAAGTGGGCACCACTGCAAATCTGAGCATTCCAAGGGCTTGGATTGAGAAGCTGGGTACAAGCCCTTCTTGATAAAATTTAGTGTAAATCAGCCTGTTTCATTTGTTTTGCCAGAATTATCAGAAGAAAAAGGGTCTCACAGTTTCTTTATGCCATCCCACAATTATCAGTGTTATGCTGTGGATAGTAACCAAATGCCCCCTTGGCACAGAAAATTATGTGGGCCCTTTCTGTTCTCACGCACATTTTCCCAGGTGAATCTCCCAACTCACAGTTGTGATCCTGTTTCCTTCTAGGATCATGTTTTTAGAGCATTAAAAGTTTTTCTTCTTTCCTGACAGGAACACAGACAGGCCGCATCTCCATACAGCGGTGCTTTTCCATGGACAAGGAAATCTAACCTTGATTACTTAGCACTGGATTTTAACTCTGCTTCTCCATCCCCTGTGCAGAAGGTACGAGTCATCTGAAAACCCTGCAGCCTCTTGACTTTTTGTCTGCTGTGAGGAAATTAAGATCCAGGGTCACATTCTGCTAGGTGTCCTAAGTGCCATGATGAAGCCAGTAGTGTTTCCAGTTGGCTTTATTTGTGTCAGGCTCAAGATTAATTTGATAAAAGCATGATGAGGGTGCTGACAAGGTGTCCTTAGTGTGACTTATAGGGACACTGCTAACACAAGCTTGGTACAGGGTATGAGACTGTTCTGGGAAGTGCAGCCATGAGGGCTTGTGGGCAAGTGGATTGATTATTACAGGATCTCTGCATGCTCCTTCATTTTCATCAAGTCTCCACAAAGCCTCTCCTGATAGTTTTCCCCAGACTCTCTTTGCAGTAACAAGTTTGCAGCCCATGAGAAATTCATGGCGTAAAACTGTACCATCTCTTATAATCTGGCAAAATGTGCATCTTTATTCTTGCATCACTAAAACCATTTCCATTTCCTTTGCAATGCTGAGAAAATACACTCCCTTTTCCAAAGAACTTCTAACCTGCCCAAGTGGTGTGTATACCACTGCAAAGCAATGAACTGTAGTGAGTTTGGATCATTTTATATCCTGTGCATAATCAGCCAATATTCCCAGATACAAAAGACTCAAGACTCTTAAGCTTCCTTATTTAAACTCTCCCTGTATCTAAAATCAGTTAGGTTATCCTTGCAGCAGGATCACTCAGATGAGGAGAGAATGATTATCTGCATGGAAATAGCCAGTACAGCATGTTTCCCTCACTTCCTGTGCTGGGCTGAGTGACAGCGTGATGGATAATTATAGCTGAAGCAGGCTGTAAAGCAATGCTTTTATCAGCTGATGTCACTGTGAGATTCAAGGTGAAGTGAAGCAATCAAGGAATGAGGGAAAGGGAAAGCAGAAAATCAAGCTAAGTTTCACTAGCACACCTTTCTTCTTTCAACCTGAAAATTAAAACATTGGTTTTTTCCTCTCTGTACCATAGAAACCTTTTCTGTCTGAGGAACAGAGAGTGGACTATGTCCAGGTAGATGAACAGAAGACTCAAGCTTTACAGAACACTAAGCAGGAATGGACAGATGAAAGACAATCAAAAGTGTGAAGGAAGAAGATTTGGGATCTGGAGGGTTTTTTTTTTGCACTGGAGCCGCAATGTTAATGAAGCAGCTAGCACAGTAGAGCTCAAAGATGCTTCAAGTCTGTTGAGGCATTTTTACTGGAAACCTTTGATTTCAGCTGGAAAAAGTAAGTTGTGTGAGTGAGTGGTTCACTGATGTCTAAAGTAATGCATTAGCCTTTTTACTACCCTTACCAGTATGGTACATGGTACAATTTTCTGGCATGATTCTGCAACGAGTCATATACTTAACATTCACAAATTCACTACAAGTTGTATTAATCTACTTTGTCCTGCCTTCTCCTCTGTCACTTAATTCCTATTAATTCCTCAAACTATTTTTTGATACCCCTAAAAATGCTGCAGGTACTCAGAGTGCTTTTATGGCAGCAGGCATCTGACAGGTTTTGGTGACTAATCAACAAAGGGCTAAAATACTGAAACAATAAAAAGAACCTTTTTTGAATATATAGTGCTTAAGCAAAGAGAATTTTGAAAAATATTTTTCCCCTGGGTTTAAAAGGTCTGGCTGTGAGCTGATGCAGTCAGAACTCAAAACAGGACTACACACCCATGCAACTGGAATGCATGGTCTTTGACCCTCTGTGTGACAGTCATTGTATTAAGCTTCTTCCCTCCATTGTGGCTCATACTTGTCACTTTTCTGTCTGATTCCTACTGATATTTTCTCCCCTGTCTTGGAAAGTGTCTTTGGCACAGCCCAACTGCTCTTCTAGTAGGAGGCTGTAGCCACACAGCTCTTGGATGGCCAAAAAATAGAAAGGGAAGCTGTGAGCCTGTTTCTGCAAGCCTTGAGAGAACTGTCAGAGGATCAAGACTGCTTTCATCTGAACGGCAGAAGAAATGCCATTGAAATTGCTGGTAGCAGTCATCAGTCTGATTGTTTCACTAGACCCACCCCAAAATAAAAAAGAGCATTAGGAAGTTCAGTGTGCTCTGCAAGAGGCCAAGAGCCTGCCAAATCAGGACAACAATGTGCTCATGCAGCATGAGGACGTCTGGGCTCAGGAAGCCTATCTACCTTGGGACTTGTTATCAGCACTCTCTCAGGATGACATATCTGTATAGTTTATAAAATATTTAACTTCAAATGCTTGACTGCAGTCTTTATTTTACAGTGGCACATGGCCACTTGATTCATGGAAGTAGGTAGTGACGCAGAGTGACCCACACTGGATTTGGTCTCACAGGCTTTGCTCCTGTACATGAGTCCCAGTAGCCATAAGAGGTCTGATCCTGTCAACATGGATAGACAGACAGGACCCTTACAAAAGATTTCTTCTCTGACAATGCCAATTTACTGGCCTCCCCTCATGTGCCTGTTGTTAGCACATTGCATTGCTGTAACCTGACATCCTAAAAATTCTGAACTACCAAACAGAGGTCACAGAAATGTCATTGCAGAAACCACTGGCATTTGAAGGCTCCTACTCAACTACTTCCCTACACCCCATCTACTCCAATCATTCAGGCACTCTGGGAGGCTGAGTCGCTCGTCCTGTGGGAGAAGCAGCATAGCTAATAGAAACAGTTTTCCTCCTACCTCAAGCGAGCTGAAGGGCTTGCAAGTCTCACTGCTTCTTTAGCCCAGCCCCTGGGGATCTATGGTGACCAGGATCTCACTAGGTTACCCTGCAAGAACAAGGTTCACCAGCGCCTTCACTGACTGGGGCAAACTGGGCACCCAGGCCTGTGGGCATGAAGTGTCCTGGACTAGAGCTGCTTGGAATACTGGGGTTAGTCCTGCAGATAGCTGACCTGCTGTTCCATCCTACTCTGCTCCTCCCCTTCCTCACCAAAGCTCTCAAATGAAAGCTGATGTTCATAAAAACTTTGCAAATAATTCCAACTTTTCCATACATATCTTGTCTGTCTGGTGCAAAATTCAGTTTGTCAAAACCCAGCTGTTTCGTCCTCTGATTTAGCAGAGCTATGAGCACCCATGCCCTGGGAGTGATATTGTGTCAGGGGCAGGGTGTTTGGGGAGAGGCAGTGGAGATCTACACCTACACAGAGGTGTCAGAGAGAGGGAAGCATGGAAGGACCACGGATACTTTGCCTTTCTGCTCCAAAGAATTGTCTTCCTTTCAAAGTGTGCAAATAGCACGTGTTGCTGAAAGCTCTTGATATGTGCTGATGTACTGAAAGGGTTAAAAGAACAGCTAAAATATGTCTTAAATTGCAGACAGACAACCTCCACAAAGGGTGAGCAAAGTTATGTTCTGCTACTGCAGGTCCTGGATTGTGGAGAGATGGCAGGCAGGAAAGCCTCTGATGCAGATCAGAATCACATACAGATCAGCTCATGTTTGGAGTGTTTCCTTTCATGCTGTCAGACAATCATCTGAAGTGGAAAAACACCAAGTTATTGGAGACTGACTCTGTTGTTATTCTAGTTTATTGTAAGAATATTTGAACTTCAGCAAACCTGGCTAACAGATCATTCAGAAGTTTAGAGAAGAAAAAGCTGTATGTGGATTTTTACTCCCCTAAAAGGACATAAGCTTATAGCTTGACAGGGACTGTCCTTAGATTAGAATGGCCCCTTTCAACTTCCTGTGTCCCCTGCTTGCTCTCACAACACTCTTATCTTGATCAAATGCTGCTCACTGGTTTCTAACTTTCACTTTTAACTTGAAGCTAAGTTTGGGGGTTTATTCCTATTTTTTTATGTAACATCTGATTTTATCGGCTGCTCCAGGGCACATGACATACATTCCTGTGCAAGTACAACACATGAAACAGGAGCAATTAAAAAATACTGGGGAAAACTATTTAAAAGCAGAGCAGTCCTTCTCAAAGGCTTTTATTTCTTTTGTTTTGGTCAAATTCCACTATACTTGAAAGAGGGTAAAGAGGAGGAAGATGGTGGGAGGATGGCAAAGGCCAAATCTGTTTTGGCCACCTCACCACTAAGGATTTGGGTGTGAAGGGAGCTACAGCAGCCACAACTGACAAACCTGTGGACTAGTACCCATAGAGCCAGCTGGTGGGACTGGAGGAGTGTTACAGAGCAAAAAGGAGTTACTGTTTAGTTAAGTCTGATCTTAATCCCTTGGCCAAGGAAGAAAGAAAACCTGAAAACTGAGTCAGCTTTTGACAGTGTCTGAAAATATACCCCAGGCCAGAGCCCTTGATTAGTACTGGCCCTGGGGCCAGCCAGGCACATTCCTGATAGTGTCCTCTTTTTACCATGGGTCTGTTATTTGCATGTACTTTTTTCAAAAGTGTAGTGAGAGCTGATGCAGAGAGAGACTCTGCACATAAATATAGAGTGGCCAGTGGCCCCTTAGCCCTGTGCTGAGGGAATTGGAATTGCCCAGCCCGAGTATTGTAATGCCTTCTCTAGCACTGCTGGGTCCTCTCATTTAAAATGGGGAGAGTGCTAAATGAGAAGAACAGTTTTAGTTTAATTGGAAATGCCACCTTGTGGAGTTGCTGGATGCAGCTTGGTTGCAGGATGACATGGAAAACAACCAAGCTCAATGGTTTGAGTCCTGTGGTTATTGTTGGGGCCATCAGCTGATTTCCCCACACTGATGTGTTTAGTATGTCCTTACTCATCTCCTTCAATGACTGCACATTTGATCAAGGCAGAGCGGTCCACAACTCATTTGCTTTTTGGACTAAACTACATTTTACATTTATAAATCCTTTATGATAGTAGGCAGCATTAATTTCCTTACTGGCAGAAATGAGCACTTAACCTGAGGAGTGCCAGCAGCCATGTAACTGGAGCAAGGCGTTTTCAGCTAGCTCACTTTGCCAGTGATAGCACCTGCATTCTTCATTGTCACTAACTACAGATTGTCCTAGATGTAGATTTTGGAGTTGCATTCACTTGCAGTGATTCAGAGGTTTAATAATTCAAAGACCATCAGATGCTGTGATGACAACAAAACACAGGGTAATGCCTTCCCTTTGTCCCCGTTCTGCAAAACTTGCTCAGGTTTTTTTTTTAAAAAAAGCCACCAAAATAGCAGACATATGCCATGTCAAAGCCAGGATATTTTTTTTTATTTTCAAATAAAAATAAACTTTTTCTCGTGCAAATGAAGCATTATACATTTTTTTGTATTTGTAAATCTGTGGGGAAGCATTAAGCAGTCATCTCTGTTATGAAGGGACATGTCATTGCTAGAGGGAAGGGGCTCACCTTCCTAATGTTTCATTGTAATGTTTGGTGTATATATTTGCACATTAAGCTGTATCTTTTTCTAATAAATTAATATAAAAGATAGCTGTCATCTTTAATCATTTTCATAAGTAAAGGTGCTCATAGGAGCTCCCACATTTTTCATTTAATCCTTTTTCCATTTTTTAATTCTCTTACTAGGCAGTGACTTGTTAATTTAAAATATTTGGATGCAAATTCAAACAAATTTGCAAACAAATGTCATATACCTGCGTATCAGGGAGATTATTTGCAGAATAACAAAAAACTATGAAGTTGTGACTTTGACTCATGTGGGACAGGGTGAGCTGCAGTCCCACAGTCCCAGCCCCAACTCTTGCTGCCACAGCCAAGGGGCAGAGGAAGGGGCCACAACTCTTGACTGACCATGTAGACCACAAGTACAAATTTATTCAGCAGATGCTCCAAGGTTGGATACAAAGACTAGTTGTTATGTAACCTGGTCTTTTAATTGCTCTGTGCTGAGGAGTGTAGTTGCTGGTAGTATAATTTCCACATCCAGCAAGCTAGGGACATGGGATCCTTTCAATGGGCACATGGACGATGAAACAAGGCAGTCCATGGAAACAGAGCTGAGCAAGCCTTGCTGCTAACAAGCCAGGTAGTTTGGAAATAGTTTATTTATTGCTTCAGGCTAGTGCCACTTTTGGATCTGCATGCTTTGTAATCCTGGATGGGGGTCCACCGTGGTGGATTGAGGGTGGTGTAGTGCTTAGAGAGCCACGGACGGAAACTTGGCTGCACAACTCAAGATACACAGACACTTGTGACTGAGATAAGCCTTCGCCTGCAGTCTTGATAGAAGGGAACTCCATGATACTTTGTGTTTGGTCTTCAAGAGAGGGCAGGTCAGACAAATAAAGGTCAGATAAAGACTGACTGCCAGTTCACAGCTCTTCTGTGTCCTCTGCCCAGCAGAGATGGCAACCAACAGCCCTTTCATCAGAGAGCACTTCCCAGAAAAGAGACCTCCCTCAATTGCACCTCCTCCCAGAGCTTCGGAGGGAAACAGCTACTTCAAAGCCACCATCAGCCACCACCATGAAGTGAGCCAGGAAGCTCTCAGACTTCTCACACCTCTGTGCAAAGTACTTTAGTGATTGGATAATAATAATAATAACAATAATAATTATAATAACAACAACAATAATAGTGGGGAAAAAACTGACAGCAAAATCCCTGGATATGTGAGCACTTGGCTCTATAGAGGCTGGCTCCTCTAGTTACATCTGCAATTTCAAACCACATCAGATACTACCCTGAAGCAAAAAGCCACAGTGCAGTCAGTCAGGTAGCAAAACCAGGTTATCTTCATGGGGTATGAAAAACAAACCTCTCCAAAAAGTCAGTAATTCCCTACCATAGAATTATAGACTATATCTTGAGTTGGAAGAGACCCACAACAAGCATTGAAATCCAGCTCCAGATCCTGCACAGCACAGCCCCAAGGATCACATCATGTGCCTGAGAACATTGTCCAAACTCTTCTTGAGCTCTGGTAGGCTGAGTACTGTGACCACTTCCTTATAGAGGCTGTTCCAGTGTTCACCCTTGGGGGGAGGAAACTTTCTAATATTCAATCTTTCAGCCCAGTGCTTTTTTGTCTCTTCAATTCTTTTGGTTAAAGTGCAGTTGCTTTGCTATTTTTTAGCCAGAGCTGCTCAGTAGAGCATCTGCCTTAGAAACAGGCATTCCTTCATGGTTCTATGTCAGCTCAAAGCCACCGTGGTGATATCTCATTTCTCTCCAGATCTCCAAGAGTTTTGGCAACAAAGCCATATTTTACTTCCAGTTGTTCATGTGGGCTTTGCAGGGCAGTGACTGCCCCCAGGCCAGTGGCAGTAACAGAAACAACACTGAATTTGTGGGGTCTTAGTCCTGCACCTTTTCTAGCAACTTATGCAGGCTTCACACTGTGTTTTGATAGGTCTTAAAAGATGCATTTTTCCATCAAACAGCATCTAAAACTCCTCTTCCAGTTTTTTAGGGCAGAGAGTGCAGAGGGACTCAGCTATCAGGTTATACATATTTATGGGAGTACACTGTGAGCCAGAGGTACCACATCCAGTGCAAACAAAGGATGCACTGGCAGAGACTCAGCCCATTCCCAGCTAGGGAGCTGATCCCAGGCCCTGTTGTAATGAAGGTGCAAGTAGGGAGCAACCCAACCTTTCATTCACTGTCCTGTTTTGCTCTACTTTGATTTTCCTTTCACATCCAATTTTAGCATAAGCTCATTGTTAAACAGCCCCAACATCCTGCTCTGACAGCTTTTGGATCTTGGCATTGGCATATCCAACACTGCACAAGAGCCTGAAAAGCCCTTGCTCTCTGTTGGGCTCACACTGAGGGCTTTAAAGCTTTGAGCAGTTTGAGGGGGTGTTTTCATTGCATGTGTTTGTGGTGGTTGTTGCAGTTCAGTTACTCCTTCATTCAGAAATGCTCCACTCTTTGTCCAGGAGCTCAGCTTCTTGGAATTGCATCTGACTATGCTGCTATCTTCAGATGGCTGGGTTTGCTACTGCTGCTGCTATTTCTTAGCATCCTTCCCCACATGAGCAGCATGGGGAGGCCTGCTCTGTATTTTCCCCCAGAAGGGAAAAACCACAGATCCCTCCCATGAAGCAGCCATTCTGCCACCTACTCCAGGAGACTATCACTCTCCCAGCATCTTGGTTTTCTCTGGGAAGGCACAGAGTCTTTTGCAGAGTTACACAACAATGAAAAGGACAAGACATCAAATAGAGGCAGCACTGGCAGGTGTCTGCAAAGACTTGAGGAGGTGCCGGAAGGCAAATAGAGCTTTTTCCTTTACATTTCCAGATCAAAATTCAGGACAAGCTTCAAGGGCAACCTTTTATACAGCCTGAAAGTGAGAATTCCTCTACAGAAGGACATGGAGGATTGAGCAATACAGGGATTCATAAAATCCCTAAGGTCTCCGTAACTCTTCCATGTCTCTGTTCAGCATTAATGCAGCTTTCAGAAAGCAGTCAAGTTTAGTAGGCAAAGGGAGACAAAGTTTCCAGAAGGAGTCCTAGCAGGGCTTGGGTGTCCCCACCAACAGTGGCATCCAGCTGTGATTCCCCCAATTTGAGACACTGAGCTGTTCCCCTTCAAACCTGAACTGCCTTAGCTCATGCCTGACCAGGGACTGGTTACCCCAACACAGCTGTGCCCAGGTGCAGGCAGTCGCAGGAGGGCTACAGGGGCAGACTGACCCTCTCCTGCCTCCTGCTACTGCTGTTTCTCCTGTCAAGTAGCGTCACATCCACAGGGTTGTGCCCAGGTCCCTTGGGGCCCCAAAAATCCAGAGGCTGAGAGATTTGCCCTTGGCCCTAGGAGCAGGTGACTCAGTCATATTTTAGGGTATGCTCATTCAGATTATGAACTATTTTAAAGCTCTGAGCAAGCCCAATGTACTGACACTTGCAAATGAATTTCCCCAAAGTGGTAAGCTCTTCCCAGAAGAAAATGTATTTGGCTTTTGTGTAAATTTCATCCAGACAGCAAGGCAGGCTGTTTGCAGTTCAAAATAAGGCTTTTAAAACGTCTTTTTAAAATTAAAAAATAGAAGATTCATCATTTCTTTCATTTAACTTCCTCCACAGTTAGTCAGAATTCATCAGGAAATGACACCAAAGGAAATCCATCCTGTTCTGCCTGATCAGCACAAGGAATGTGCTCACGCAGAGGACAGTGGTGGGGAGCCTCTGCCTCTTCCCAGGCAAAGCTGAGCAATACACCAGAGACAGCTCAAGAGAGAACTTGCATGACATGTAAAGACAAAATGACAGGAAGTAAAAATAAAGATGGACTTCCACAATCAGCACACCTGATATTCTGGAATAACTCCAGAAATGACAGTAATTCTTTTTTCCATGTTTATATATAGGGGGGAAAAAAAAAGGCACACTTTACCATCCATAAACCTCCTCAGACTCTTCTCTAAAGAGCTCTGACTGCTAATGATACCCAAGGCTCAATGAATAGATTAATTTCTACTGCAGACCTGCCTATCTCTCTGTATCTCTCTGTTCTCCTCTCACCAGTGACCACACCATTAATCCTTCCACAATCCACAGCTGGACTGGACTGGCTCAAAAAATGCTTGAATGTACTTTTTTACCTTCAGCCTCTGTGGATCAAGTTGAGAGGAAAGGGTGTTTTGGTGTCATTCCATGAGCTATGGTTACTTGTAAATTTGTGGCTGAGAAAACAAAGATGTGAAGCAAAAGCACCACCCTTTTCTTTTGGCAATGTAACCTTAATCCTCCTAAAGAGCTCTTGCTAACTCTGCTGACCACAGTTCACTGGAAGAAATGGAGGGAGGAGCACATAAAGTGGCTGGTCTGTACTGGGAGGAGGTGATAAACAGATGTGCAAGAGCTGGGGGCAAAGAGAAGAGCAGCTGCCTCCATGAGGTTTATTTCCATCCTGCAGATGAGACACTGTGTAGAAAAGGTTGAGTAGATGAAAAACCCCAAAGCTCTTTTATACAGGCTAGTAAAAAGTCTGTATCTTTTCTGGAAAGAGCTCACAGAATCACAAAATATCCTGAGTTGGAAGGGCCCACAAGGATCATTGAGTCCATCTCCTGTCCCTGCACAGGCCCATCCCCAAGAGTCACACCATGTTCCTGAGAGCGTTGTCCATGTTCCTGTTTAGAACTGTACCTGCGCTACATTATTCTCTATCAGTGATCTGGCTGTTCGACCGCTCTTTAGCTCTCTCACTTGTGCTTCCCCCTGCCAGGTCTACCTTCATGGCCTCTTTGGTGTCACAGAGAGCAGAGCCTGACCCATGCTGGCAGGTCCCCAGACTGCTCCAAAACAGAAATGGAAAATACTCTCTACAGACAGAAAACCAGGTGTGTCCCAGCCTGTATCCAAAGTGTACATTCAGAAAGGAAAAACAGTTCTGAAATGCATCTTGTGTTTATCAGAATTGTTTTTGCAATGGGTGCCTTTGATCTGCTTCCCAGGGAAGCAGCAGGTTCAAGGAGCTCTGTAGCATGAGGAAACCCTCAAGGTCCTTCTGCCAGG